TTTCAGCGGAGATGCTCTTTCAGCACCCGGGTGACTTTTACGGCTGCATGTTCTTTCAGCATGTCCTGAGGCCCAAGCTTCCTGTCGTCTGACAGAAATAAGACTTCCTGTCAGTTGAAACACCTGCAAGACGGTTTTGCCCTATACATGTCATGTTCGCACACAAAATGCTGCGATTCAACAACACGCTTCTTTCAGGTCAAGCAACCGCAATCAGAAAATCACGCGTGCAAACAACTTGCAACCAAACACACGCCGGAACAAATTAAGATGGATTTGTTTCTTCCAATTGTCTTGAGCTCAGAATCCAGCAGCCCTCAGCCTCACCACTGAGTTGAGCTTCAAAGAAACGTTGAGCTTTGTGTCGCAACTTCGATTTGAGCTGGAATCAAGGATGACACATGGCTGGCATTGACTCAAAGGTGATGCGAGAGAAATGTGTCACAGGGCGTTCGCGCGGGCATGCGGCAACATGTGACATGTGAAATTCCACGGTGCAACTTGTAGTTACACTTCAAGGGACTTGTAGGTTTATGTCTCCCCCTGCCCCCCCAAATTTGTCTCAACAAAAAATGTAATTTCAAAAGCATTTGAAAAAAGAACAGCTACGCGTTTTCTGGCAGCCTGGCAGTCAGGCTTTGAGCACTGAGCAGGTCAAGGCAAACAAAATGGGAATCACACTTATGAGAAGAAACCATTGTCTTTTTTGATGCTCTTTGGCTTCAAACTTGGCCTGGCCCAAAAATAAGCGGCTGGCGCAGCAGAAAACCAATATCGACAAATTCTGTTACAGGGACACTGTAAAAGGATGCAAAACACTTGGTGTGCCTGAGTGGAGGAATGCTGCTTAGTCAGCCGTGATATGAGACTCCTCTTTTCATTCTTTGCATGCAATGCGCAACACCATGGAAGGGGGACAGGGCAAAACGTAAACATGATTGAATTTGCGATCAGTGAAGCTAGGAGGGCAAAGCGGCTGTCAAACATGCGAAGCATCAGGGTTGGCCACGTTAGACACTGCCGCCGCAAAACGCTGCGTGCAAGATTTCCGTACTGCGCATGCGCAGCTCCCAACACACAGTCAAAATACAAACGCAAGGTGTCTGCATTTTTACATATATATATATAATAGTAATAATAATAATAATAATAATAATTAAACATCATAATAACAATAATCAACAGAAGCAGATAGGCTTAAACTTTATCTGTAAAATTGTTGGTGTATCCAGGTCTATCTCACAATTGTGGGGTGTGTCTAAAACTGTAGATCTCCCTTGTGCAAAAAAGCGAAAAAAGTATCCTTATAGAGAGCTCAGCAGGACGATCTGAAGAAGTTGACTAAGAAGTCACCGCAACACGAGGTGAGCCTGGAGGCGAGGATTTTGGCGGCCTCGCTCGGGGGGCGCGGCGACGACCGCCAGGCGTGGCAACAGTGGCGGAGAGCGAGACCCACGACATGGAGGAGCGCGAGTCCCTGCAGGAGCCAAGGGCGCCTGCCGAGCGCTCTCCTGGAAGCCGGTCCGACGACTCCAGCAGGGGGTCGAGACGGATGCTGCAGTGCCAGAAGTGCGCCGGGCCAGCGACGAAGTTGCATGGCCGCAGATCAGCCAAACTCCAGTGGGCCGAACGTGCGTACCCTGCAAAAACCAGGCACAAAATGAGCGGGATAAGGCGAAGAGCGAGAAGCGCAAGGCCGAGAAGGCCAAGGAGGCAGAAGAGGCGGAGGCCACCCAGGTAAAGCGCAAGAGAGGGCAGTAGGCGGTGGATCTTCGATCACAACTTGCGTATGGCCACTGGTTCCCTGGAATTCGCGAAACACGAAAGTCAGGCCCATCTCGCGCGAAGGTCCGAACAGATGGCGCGCCAGGAAACCAACGCCGCCCGCGAGGGCGAGCGAAGCAGTGGCAGCAGGGGATGGAATCAGTCTGACTGGTCCAGTTGGAGTACATGGGACAACAGCCAATGGAGTGACAACCGATGGGGTTCCAGTAGGTGGCAGTGGCGGTAAAACCGCAACCGTCACCGGTTCGTGAATTTGTAAGTAGATGTTGGCCTAACTCCCCTTAGTTTCTGTAGTTTGGCAGCTTGGTAAATAGCCCATCTACACGCTGAGGGGGGTGTGGAAACTATAGGCCTTGTTTGTACATTTGCATCTCTTACATCTGCAGTGTTTGCTCTCAAGCGGAAAAAGCGCGAGCGCATGCACTTGGACGGTTTGTGTTGTTGTTTGTTGGTCCTTTTGGTCCCGAACTGGCAAACCCTTGAATCTATAGTTCCTTTGAGCAACCACCAAGCAGGGACGCCTAAGTTTGACACACTCCCACGAGCCAATTTAATCAAGCAGATTGGAGTGAAGCATTCCCACGACCAAGGCCAACAAATCAAGGGGTTGCCGGTGAGGTGGAGGTGGGCGAATTGCTGGCCGCAGTGCAAGAGGCGCGCGGCAGAAGGACGGAGACGTGCGAAGATGGCAGCAGCTGATCTCCGCCTTGTTGCTTCTTGATTGGTTGTGATGCTGTTTTCGCTAGGCGGTCAGCCTTTTGTCACGCAAGCCTGCGGCTCCCGCACCAGCCGAGAACCAACAACTCTTGTTTTCAGAGCGACTTATGCCACCAAGTCCCAGAAAGCCAAATTTACAAACATGACTAAGCCACAAAACCGCTCCCCCTCCCATAATTGGATGTCACGAGGAAAAACATAAGCTTCAGAGGGGCACACACCAGGTTTACGTCCATTTTGTTTCCCCGCACATGCCTTGAGAAAATCAAGAAGAAGGGCAAGCCCCTAGAGACACAATGTAAGCCAGGCACCCTTTTGAGCCCCTCCGTGGTTCTCTCTCGGTTTGGGTTGCCCAGCAAAATGCAAGGAGAGCCCTGGGGCTCAGACCCTTCCAGGCTGCGACAAGAAAAGGTTGAAGCACACCGAAGCACTCCCTCAATAAACGCTTCTTAACGTTTCTCCCACTTCAACTTGGCAAGGCAAATTCCGAAGAATGCGTTTCTCAGGGCGGCTGGGGCAGGTGGCGCGGCCCGGCTTGCTGTACGGCATTGGGCGCCACAACTGCATCCACTTCGGCCCGCCCCTGAGAGATGCCCAACCCGCCCCCAATCATACTGGCATACAAGCAATAGAGCGGTTGCCCTTCCAGGGCACAGGTCGTTGCATGATCACAGCAGGCCTCCCTCTGAGCCACGGTTCGATGGTCAAACGAAGTTTAAAAGGAATTTCCGCAGCGCGACATGGGGCCCAACCTCGCCTGGGGTCAGCGCGGCATCGTGCCGACGCGCGGCTGCAGCGGCTGCGGATCTGGATGCGTGGCATCCGTACGGGGCGGGGGACCCGGCCGCGGGGTTAGCGCCGCGCAGACTTAGGACTGGCACAGCGCAGGGTCAAAAAGACGGCCCGCGCGAGTCATGTCACAGACGTCAGTGAGCGCGTTGTTGCTTTTCGCAGGTGAGCGCGTTGTTGCTTTTCGTGCAAAGGCGGGATCCCATCGAGTTCAGCCGAGTTTGGCAGCTCGGCGGCGGGATCCCATCGAGTTCAGCCGCAAGGCCACAAGGGAGGGATGCATGTGCAAGAGCCATTTGAAGTGTAATTTCTGGGCACAGTGTAGGGGCTGACACGCAGATCCGGCCCTATACTCCTCACTCGGAGCTGACGGAGGCCGGCCTCAGAGGCCAAACTCCGTTGGTTTCCTTTTGGCAGCCGTGTAGGGCACCGTGTAGGGGCTTAGTCACTTTCTGGCGGGCGATATTGTCTCATGGTTGCCCATATGTTCGTTTCACAGGAGATAGGCATTGCTTCAAGTCGTCAGTTGAAGTATTATGGTTTATTTGTGGACGCCTCCGAGCCTCCTTTAAGAATATGACAGCAAGAGACCTCGAGAAACGCACTTGTTGGAGTTCAGGAGCATTTTTTCAGGACTGCGACCCGATCTTACCGCCCGTGGTTACCACCCATTTGCGCGGGCGGGCGCCGCTACGCCCTAGTAGGCTCAGCTTGCAGTAGTCTGGGCTCCTAAGTACTTCCGACGTTCAATTTGTCTCCCCGCAGTTCCTCGAGATAACCCTCTGCAACGTGAAAATGCAGGCTTGTGAACCAACCCTAAACCAACCCACCAAGCCTAAACCCCAACCACCCAACCACCCAACCACCCAACCACCCAACCACCCAACCACCCAACCACCCCACCACCCCACCACCCCACCACCCCACTCCACCCCCACAGATGGGGGGGGGGGGGTTGGGGGGGGGAGGGGGGCGGTTCACGGCCTGGAACATATTTATATATACAATATTTCCCTGGTTGGCTTCAAAGGGAATCGATTTCACTGGGCATTTGCAAATGAGCCCGTAATATGGGAGTGTCCCTGGTTTTGCTCGCGGTTCATCACTTTAGGGGAGCACGGGTTTAGTAGCGAGTCAACATTAGACATGCCGAGGAAAGGGGAAGTCCCCAAGTTGCAAGCCAATCCATCTGTCCGGGCATTGCTTGCTTTGTCAAAATGGTTAACTGGGAAGGAGACTCACTCAGCGTCCCATGACCTTGGAGACACATATTGTGCATGCCCATTAGGGCAACAAACAAATTTGTTGACTTTGCCGCGCATGCCGCTACACAACAGATCACTTTCTGGGTTCTCCAAACACGTTAGGGTAGACGAAATATGGAACAGAGGCAGAACATCTTAGTTCCGTGCACCGGCCAAGATCGATGGACGTTTACTGTCCCGACGCTGATTCCCATTGAGGAAAACAGTCAGGAGCCCACAAGTTCGGCAGTGTGGGTGGAGTTTATTGGGGTATTCTTATATTTTTTGGCGCGCAGGTGTGAAGGAAAACCAGGACACCCTGCGAGATGGTCCCCGTTTTAGGACACATGTCAACTCGGGAGAACCTGCTGTTAAAGGGTTTGGTTGCAGGACAATCGCCCCAAAACACCCTAAATATGCTGTTTTCCTGTAGCATTTCCTGTAACCCAACCCTTTGATGCTGAGGGTGCCTGGTGTCAGATGTGAAGCTGGTGCTCATTGATGATTGCTTGGCGGCCGTGGACGTGCACGTGGCCCGAGCCATCTGCGAAGAAGCCGTGCTGGGCACCCTGCTGGACGGGCAAAGAACCGCTCCTCGGACTCGGGGAGCCCAGAGCCAGGAGTCCGATTTCCGAAAGTGTCCCAAAAAATCAGCATCAAAGGACATTCATAGCATGGGAAAGGAAGCCCTTTTTGTTAGAACGCCTTGCGTCCCCCAATTTCGGGCAACCGACAGACCTGCTTCGGCGTCGCTCCCGAGCCGATACTTTTCAGGTGGTAATGGTGATGAACTCCAACTTTGTGGCCATTCAGGAGCATTGGCTGCATGTAACAAACCCCTGCCCAAAGGGTACCTGACTGGGTTGGGCAACTTGTGCTGGGTTGGGCATTACATGGAAACCTGAACAGATGAGTTTCTTCAAATAGTGGTTCAAACATGTTGAAGCAAAGGGGTTGGTGCAACTCTCCATGGTTTGCACGAGCCCCAAACCATGGTCCTATGGTTTGGAGGTCTCAACCCGAAGTTGTATCGAACATTCAGGCAGCTCAGAGCATCATCAACATGGTGGATGGCGAGGCCAAGGTCTACCAAACTCGTGACTTCACTCCGGAAGCGAGCTTTCGCCTTTTTTCTCGAGTCTGCGGGTGTCACGGTTGAGTGGTGTGCATGGGGCGCAATGTGGGCTTACCTTTGGGAAACGTACAAGTTGCCCTAGCCAGCGAAAAGCCTAAAGTCATATTCGGCGCTCACATTGTCGCAGGGAGGAAACAGCTTCAGTTTTTGCTGGGGGTCCAAACCCAAGGTGAGGAGTGGTTGGAAGATTGCAGCGATGCCACACGTCAGACGTGCATGCAGACCATGTCCAGCATCCAGGCCCGCACGCCCTCGTGCGAGGAGGAGCACTTCGCCCAGGAAGGCAGGGCGTGCTGAATTTGTTGAAGCCAAACCCTCTCCCCCCTTGTTTAAAAGTGACAACCAAAAGAAGGTCGCTTAAACAACAAGTGGTCGTGTAACAGTTGGCACGCTAGGTGCCAGTGTTCTGGAAACGGCGGAGTCTTCAGTCCTGGGGAGCCTCCACTACAAGACTTTCGTGTACTACTTCGGATCTGGAAGATATTTTCCAGGCCTTGCCTTGCTGGTGCTAGTTCTCAGCTCGATGCTTCTGGTGGAGTTCCTCCGCATTTACGCCGACCATTTCATGGGCACTTGGGCTGCCCGGGATGCCACGAACACAGAGGCCGAATCCTCAGCGGATTTCCGCACCTACTGCATTTGGATTGGCGCGGCGGTCGTGGGAGTTTTTGCCAGAGCCTTGCTGGTTGTCCGCATCACCATCAAGTCATCTCGCGAGATACTTGGCGTGAGAACGGGCCATAGTTTTGGGGATTCAATGGTCTGGACTTTGCAAGTGCCCAAGCCATTCCTTTGGGCCCAAAAGAGGCTGGCTTGAGTCCAGGCATGGTTTCCGTGGCTCCCTCCAAGACAAAGACGAGCACGCCTCCCTAAGTCTTTAAGTGGGGGGAAAAAACAAAACAGTTGACCCGAGGCTCCACAGTCGGGTCCTGGTGCGCCTCATGAAGGCCCCACTGAGCTTCTTCGATGAAACCCCCCGGGGCCGCATCTTGGGCCACTTCTCGAAGGCCGGGGGGGAGGTGGTCCCCCGATTTTGCGTCTCGCGTGTTTTTTTTTCTTCTTGAAACAAGCCTCTTGGCTTTAAAGGGGAAAAAGGGGAACGCCACAATCTTATGAAAAGGGTCGTGGAAAGAAGGACGCACTATGTGACTTTCTCACGTTTTGAACATCACCTTTTGGGCCCCCAATAAGATAATGTTGAAGTTTAAGAGGATGTATACGGAACCCTGTTAAAATAGTCGGTTCCTTCCAAGCTCAATTCACTATGGGTTTCCTTGGTCCGAATTCTCCCGTTCGAGCGGATGGTTACTTTTGTTTGGATGTTTTTTTTTTTTTTTTCCCCGTGAGACCGGTCTCACACTCACAATTGTGTCAGTCCCGTTAGGGCTTGCGTTTTCTGAGGGCACCCTTTTTTAGGTTGGGCAAACATGCCTATTTTGCCACAACCCCGTTTCTGCAATTTTCCATCGATTCCTTTGAGGGGGGGGGGGGCGGTTAGGGACATCCCTCCACCTCGCTGCGAGAGTTCGAGCATTTTGCTGGGCACTGTGAATGCTCCGGGGGGTACTTCAAGAAACTGAACCAATCTGAAGGACACTGTTGATATCACGGCCGCTGTTTTTCTCAACCACGAATATTTTGGTTCATCCCACCCCCAGGCAAAACCATGGGAATCGAGGATGCTTGGGACTCACTCCTTTGGGGCGGTCCATGGCTTTCCCACGGTTTGTAAATCCCGGAGGATCTGGATGCCACCGATGCCTTGCTGCCCCAATACCTCCTGGACTTTCTTCAGGCGCAGTTGGGATTTGATCCATCTCAACTGGCGCGAAGTGGATCTTGTTCATCAAGGAAGGCTTATCCCAGTCATTTCGAGCCTCGTTAGTGGGAAATTGGGCGGGGGGGGGGGGGTTGAGTTGGACTGGGGGCTCTCTGAAGTGTTTGTAGGTTGCAGGACTTGATCTCGGATTCATTGACGAGACTTGTCTCAGACTCCTCGTACTTGGTTTGGTACCACCCCTTCGAAATTAAGAGGCTAAGGCGTGGTGGGATGTTCACACCCATAAAAGTTTGACATTAATCAAGCAACCCTAAAACAGGACGGGCTTCCGTGGGCCACCCCCTTTGCATGACTTTTATTTTCCGGTGTGTGTTTTTTGTGGGATTTTCTCTGGGAAACAACTTTCTATTCAAGACCCTTACAACAGTGCCAGGATCTTGAATTGGGAAAGCCACTTTCTATGACAGACGCCCCATTGAAGCAGTTCCACAATTGATGCACCAAGTGTTTGGGGCGATCTGGCCGCCCGCCAAAGTGCCGTTGATTCCAAACGGCCGAGCCTTCCTTGTCTCCAACTCGCGGGGAGGACATCACCACCCTGCTGGGTATCGTGCTGGTGTGCGTGTGGTCCACTCCTTTGGCAGCCCTGGCGGTGTTTCCAGCGCCTCGGAGACGGAACGACTCTGCCGTTGTGTTGTGGCTATTTGGTCTGGGAATCAAACGAGCTGATGTAGGCCCCTGGAAAATTCTCTTCTTGTTTCAGGTTAGATTGTGGAAGCGGCTAGAAGCAGCAACATGTGCCAAGCAAGCTTCATTCACAGACAGCTGCTCCTACCTGAACGTACCAAAATGAACAGCACATTGTAAAATTCATCAGCCCGACATCTCAGGGGGTGTGTTCCGCCCAAACATGAGAAGCGGATTCCCCTCTCGACTCTCAACTGAGACACTCCTCCAATTGTTTGGTTCTGACCAGCGGGTTGTTAATCTGGATTTCCCGATCAAGTTGCCGAGCTAAATGCTCAAGCGCACGGAGGTGCTCTTTGCGTTTTACAAGATCCGGACCTTCTTCAGCCGTAGCCAGGCCGCACTGCACTCTTGCCTCGTGCTCCTCATATTCTTTCCTCTTCCATTTGCTTAATACATTTTTTGTTTTGAAGTCTGAGCACAACACCTGTTCTACCTATGTGCTGACATTTGCCCGTCAGGTCCGACAGCCTTACCATATATGTTCAGAGCAGCTGTTTACTTACATCGCTCTTTACCGTGCGCAAGGTCTTGGCGTTGCATCGGAACATTCCGCGGGTCACTTCCTTTCGTTTCAGTCTCGAACCACAAGTGGTGGGTGTGTGTCCGTGCTTGTAGTTGCAACCCTTGAGCGAAAACGGAATCCATAGGACATACCCAGCTGCTGAGCACTTACGCAGGCCATTGGCATTGCCGCAATCCCATGTCCACAAGCACCGCCGCCAGAGAGGGTTTGGCAAACTGCAAGAAAGGAAAAGGCAAGCCGGGACTGGGATACAGGTCAATAACCGCAAGCCCGCAGAGACAAAAAGGCAAGTCCCAATGAGTTCGCCGCCGAACTCATTTTTCCGAGGTGCCCAGTTGCCATGTTCTGTTTGATTTCGCTCGGATGTCAGTTTCTTATCCAATCCCGGACATGTCTCCCCGCCAAGTGTCGCATCACTTGGGAACCTTTGGAAACATGAGACGCCTCGTCCTTTCTAAGTGGCCATGCATTTTGATAGGGACCCACCTCAAAAGCGATTGGTGGACATGACTCTCCACCTAAATGATGTCCACCAAAGGGTCCCTTATTAAAGTTCAGACCCAACTGGGCCAATGGCCAAGGCACAGCGCGGGAGACGAAGCGTTTGGAGGGTCTGACCCGTGCGCCGCTCTACTCCGCCGTTTGCGACGCCGCGGATGGACTGGCCACGCTGCGGGCGCATGGCCAAGAAGGATTTCTCGTGAAACGCTTCCAGGTGAGCCACGTCCTGACGTCGGATGTCATGACGTTGGATGTCTAGAAGAAGCTTCCCCGTTTTTGAAGAGAACGATGGTTGAAAGAATGAGCTCGTAGAGGATTGATCAACCAGTCCTATTGACACGGGGGTGGGGGCTAGTCTGAATCGCCACAAAGACGGGACACCCTGCGATCAAAATCGCCAAGGGATTTATCAATCCGGGGATCCCATCAATCTGGTGCCCCTTTGTTCTTTTTGTTGGAGGGAAACTTTTCAACCACCAAACGCAAAGTGCCCTTTTTCCTGTGACCCCTCTGGGGTTTGCTGGGTTATCCTTGGATGAACCAGCCTGTGGGCAAAACCACGCGGGAGGGAACCTGTGTTGGGCTGACTGGGCCGATGCGCCAGGCGCTGCTGGACCGGAACGGCAAGGTCTTCTTCCAGACGAATGTGCTGCAGCCGTGGTGTGCCTGGGATAAAAATTCGGCATCTTACGGTTGATTGGCGGTCCAAAATGAAGCTTCTCATTCTAATGACCCATCATGATCTCTCCTTCTCCATTTATACATATATATATATATATATATCTGTATAGACATATCATTATCTAGATACATGTGTAGGTAGATTGGACGGATGGACGGACGGACGGACGGACGGACGGATGGATGGATGGCTGGATAGATCGATAGGTAGATCAGTACAACCGGGCCTAACTCCAATCATCCATGCTTATCCCACTCAAGCCAGGCATTTTGGTTCTGGACAGCCTGGGCTCGGCCATCGTTTGCATCACCTCGGTGTTCTGCGTCCTTCTGCGCCAGAGTTTGGAGGCTCGCAGAGTTTGCTAGGCCGCATGAAATTAAGTTCATCCAAGAATCCTCCAACATACCTTTTGAGCATACGGCCAAGCTTCCCATGAAGATTTCTTGAAGGTGTCGAAGGTGTCCGGAATTAGTTTGCTCAAAAGGTATGGAAGGTTTGGAGTTAAGAATGTGTCCATGAAATGGAGGGGGCCGAGTCTGGATCAAATAGACCTTTTTAACGTGAGGAAAGAGCCATCCACCGGGCTTCAATGCTCAATTTCTCGAAGGGAAGCACTTCCTGTGGTTGGGAGCTTAGGCTTGGTGGTCTAGTGGTTTCCATTCAACCGGGGGCTCTGAGGACAGATTCAACAACTTTGAACCTGTTCGTTTCGTGGTTACCTGAGCGAAACGCCTGGGATTTTCTGGCCATGGTCAGCCAGCTGTCCAGCTGTGTGTTTGTGTTCTCAGCTCCAGATAGTAGTTGCCCGTCCATGTGTCACTGCCATCAACTGCTTTGGCTAAAGCATTCAGGTATTTTGTTGATCCTAGTCCGCCTTTTGCCATACACAGGGTTCATCTCTCTCTCTCTCTCTCTCTCTCTCTCTCTCTCTCTCTCTTTTGGTGTCTTGAACACAGGTGGACAAATCGAGCTTCTCTTTCGGTGCGCTGTTCAGAGGGGAAGCATAGCCCAGAGAATCCGGCCGCTCTTTAGACAATTCGCCAGGCCAGCACGATGACCATGGCGATCTCTTACGCCTTGATGACCCGGGGCAAGCTTCAGTTCTGCGCCTGGGCTCGCTCCATAACTCATACGTGTGCGGATGCGAAGCAGCCAGAGAGTTGGCAGATGGAGGTGCAAGGGAGAACGAGTTGCGTGTAAGCGAAAGTTGAGCTCTTCTCATATGTACATGTAGGTTGGCACATCTACACCAGCAGGTGCCTTTGCCAATGTCTGCGCCAAAAAACACGGGCGTCCATTTTGTTGGTGTCCCCCGCCCAAACTGACTTAACCCCAGTCCTCATGAAGTCCAATGTGGAGCCTTTCTTGTGCCCTTTCAATCATTCGGATTAAGGGAACCCCCCGAATTTCCGATCCCAATGCCGGTCCACGTGTCGAAGGGAACTGTCCGCATGTCCGATGAATCCTGATCGCAGCCTCAGGCATCCGCCTCTCCATCGAGACGGAGAACCAATTCGTGGCCGCCGAGCGCCTGCAGAACTTCGAGGCCTCCGTGCCCACGGAGACCTCGCGAGAGGACGAGGACGGCGTTTTTTGTTTTTGTTTTGTTTTCTGGGCGAGCACGTGCCGAAGTTCAAACCCGGGGTGAAGGGAAATCCACGGGGTTGTGTACATATATACACACATTTCTACATACATATATATATATGTAGATATGTATGTATGTATATATATATATATATGTATATATATGTGTAGATATGTATGTATGTATATATATATATATACATATCTGTATATATATATATATATGTATATATATATATATGTATATATATATATATGTACTTATATATATATACATATATATATATGTACCTATATATATATATATACAGATAGATATGTTTTTGTTTGAGACCCCTGGTTTTGAAACAGGACATGTGGGTTGATGAACATCCAAATGGTGGTTTTAATGACCAAGTTCATGGTTGTGCCTATTTTACGGCGAGTCCAGCAATTCGGCTGTAAAATGAGCTCGACGCAGTGTAGGTCCTAGGTCTTTTGGCGATCCTCTATTTCAGCCTCAGATTTCAAAAGGACGCCACGATTTGGAGGGCATTGTTCAGATGATTTTGCAAGGCTACTTTCGCGTGCTATTTTGCATATGGGCACGTGTTTTTGAGGGCGACCTGTTTGGGACGTGGACGTCGAACGGACGTCGAACGGACGTCACCATTTTGGGGGTTCCCGGTATTCGACACATCGCCTATTTTCGAGATGTTGATGTTCCATATGGGCGCTTCTCAAAATTGGGGCCCCCTTCAGGTTGGCTTCCTCGTGGGATCACGAGGGGTGAATCCAACCACTTCTGTGACATCTTCAAGAATCTTCTACCTTTTTTCGGGGGGGCGTTAGTCCTTGGGGAGCCCCTTCCCGTTGTATCACAAATTCGTGGATTCCATGTCCCACAACCCACAGATCCCAAGCGGGTGCTTGCCAAGGAGTGCCCCGTGCCATCTGAGTGGCCGCAGAGCAGCTGGGACAGAAAAAAGCGGCGGTTCCTGGCGGTCGTTTTGTGGGCAGGGACTTCGTTTACTTGGCCCGTTCTTTCGGGGGGAAAAGTGGCGGTTCCTGCCCGGTGTTTTGTGACAGGGACGTTTGTTTGGCCTTTTCTTTCGGGGTTAGGAGTTTGTGTCCATAATCCGGAATGGAGCCAACACGGCAAAGATGCCTGGTCTTTCTTTCCCATCGCCAACCAGCAAAAGGGCCGAAATGTCAACTCGCGCCAACTCGTGCCGCGATGCCCAATAAAGCTTCTCTGGGCTTCGTCTTGGTCTAGTAGGGCTTGCACCAGTTGGGTTCCCGCTTGTTTGGTTGGTTTAAAAGGAAACCAAGGAAGCTAGCTGTGGTCGATTTCTCTTTTGGCTTTCCGTTTTGGGGAACGAGGGACCCTGTTGAATAATACGTTTGCTCCCTTAAACAGGGTTCCTCCGAGCTTTTAAAAGATGCTCAAACCACAGTGGAAGGTTGGCGCAAAGGATTTCCTTGGGTAGACTTACACACACACAGGTGGATTTTTCTTGCCCAAAAGGAGAGCTCCCTGGGTTCAAGTCCATCTTGGGGTAGTCAAAACGTGGAACCCTCTTCTTTTGAGAATCCTTAATGTTGGCCCCAGACTAATAAACAACTGTTTATGAATATGGGGGTGTTTTTTATTCAAAGGTGACAAATCTCCACTGCCAGGGACACCCCCATATTACTAAACTGGGGTTTATTCATATGGGGTCATCCTTACATCCCGTACCCAGGTGGAGCCATCCACTTCAAGGAGGTGACCATGCACTACCAGCCCCAGCTGCCAGTGCTTCAGTGCTTGACCTTGCACGTGGCAGCCGGGCAGAAGTCACTCGGAAAGAAGATGCGAAGTGAGCCCCTTGTGCTCTTGAACGTGAAATGGCGGCTGAACTGAACAGCAACCAACAATCAAGTTGTTTGTTTCCAAAAGGAACCTGGGAGGGTGGTGTGCAATATGTCGCATTTTCCTTTCAGGAAAACAAAAGGGGACGGCTGCTTTCAATTCGTTTGCAAAAGAAAGCTGTTTTGATTTTTGCACACCCCCTATTTGACACCCTTTATGACTTACGGGTTGCCCACCACAGCTTTCTGGACAGAGGACTCTTATCCATATAGAAGTTTTCTGTTTGGAGTTGCTATCCCTTCTTAGGTTTGTCTCTTTGGAATGCCACCATTTTGTGTGGTCCAGATCCTGAGTTTGCCACATACGTACTTAAAAGTGGTAGGCCCTGGTAAAGGACAGTGGTTGCTGTAACCGCTCTAGAGCACTGGAACTTGGATTCCTTGGATTCCATCCGCTGGCTTCAAGGGAGCCCAAGAGTAATTTTGAGAACCCCTCAACATGTTCCACTCAAGTGACATCCTTAAATTGTTGGTGGTTGAAAGGGAAAGCCACACTCAAAAGACCCTTTGAGAAGTTTTAGAGGTTTACAGGGAACCACTTGCTTTCGGGGACCTGCTTTTCGTTTTTGGGGGGCGAGGAGGGAAAAGTTTGCTGGTTCAATGGCTGAGAGCCTGCGTCATCGACAGTCGCTTTCATAGACACCCACAGGACATTTTACAAGTTCAGGAAGCCATCCAAACCGTTTTGATCAATTTTGCATAGAATGTCCAGCGGGTTTCTTTGGTCCTTGTTTTGTTCAGCGAACGTTCAACACGAATCTCGCGGTTCGGACGAGCCCAACAGGTGTTGATCTAGGTCATGCGATGAGTGAATCTTTGACGGTCGAGGAGTTTTGAAGCACGTGGACCGGGACATGAACAACACGAACCACGATGAGCTAGAAATGTGTGTAAGGTTATATATATTTATATATATATACAAATCTCACACACACACACCATCCATACATGTTGCCACCCATGCAAGCCCCCTTCCCCCCCCCCCCCGAAGTGTACTTTGGTCGACACTGCAAAGCCATGGAAAGCTGAGCCTGGGGAAGGTTCATAGGGATATACAGCCACTAGCGGCTACAAAGGGTATATACGGGTTTGTTTTGCAGTGGACTGATAGAGAAAAGAAGTTCGTTACTTCTGGGATTCTCTGAAAAAACCCAACCCCCAAACAGGGAGTTCCGGCAAAGCAGGGCGGTTCCCTGGCGCGGAGCGCCAGATCCGCGCACCAAGGCTGGGCCTGGTGGGGCGCACGGGCAGCGGCAAGAGCTCGCTGCTGGCGGCGCTGTTGCGGACCACGGAGCTCTCCTTGGGCCAAGTCTTGGTGGACGGCGACCCGGCCGATGGATCGATGGATCTTGGGGAGGCTCAGGAGATAGAGGTAAAGCCACTTTTTTTTTTTTGGGTGGGCGGGGGGTCGTGTTTTTTGTGGGGAAGGGTCCGGGTGGAGGGTCTCAAAATACATGGAACCCCGCCTAGGAGGGTTCCAAAATTGATGGACCCCCCCCCATTTTGATTATGGGGCAGTTTTGTTTTGGTGAAGGCATGCCTTTGAGGTCCCAAGAATCGTCTTGAATGAATGTGAAGGCACCTTCTTACCAGGCCACCAATCCAAACCTCCACCTATTTTAGGAACAGAGTGACTATCCGTTAGCATTTGAGGGTACGCCAGCTGATGCATCAGCAAAGGTTGTTGTGTTTTTCTGCACAGTTGGGAGCGAAAGGACATCTGAGGAAATCTGATGGGCAATTGGCGATACATAGCCGCCAAAACCCACTCCATGATGTTGGTTCGCGAGCTGAGGGGCAGCGGTCATTTTTCTGAGAACCAACAGTCGTGAGTGCCGAGGGCCTGAATACTTTGCCGGCAGCTCTCTCCCTTAGAATTTCGGCTGTCGGCATGTTTGTCGGAGAGCAAACTTGCCCTTGCAACATCAGAACCTCATGTTGCATGTGTCAATTCTTCAAACGTATCCCACCCACTGTGGACGCGCCCAGCCCCATCTTCAAGAACCTTGTTTGTCAAGGGTTCCCCTATTTTAGAGTTATAAATGAGGTTCGGTTAAAGTATTCGGTAGTCCATGGTCCAGTTGGGAGGGATATTGGTGCGGGGGCACGAATTCTCCCGCAAAAACCGGGGGGGGGGGGGGGGCGGGCGAAGCTTGTGTGTTCCATTTTCAATAGGGTAGTCAAAAGAGAGGGGCCAAATCCCAAATGGGCGATTTCCTTTTGGTTCCGTTGAATTCAGCCTAAAAGGGCCACCCTCGCCAAGAATGCGAGCCACAAATCCGTCTTTGAAATAGGGAGCTGGCAATCGCCTGCCGAAAATCAAGGTGTGGACATTCGCCGGGTCCCTCTGGCTCGGTTGCGCGCAGCGGTGTCCTTGGTTCCGCAGGAGAATCCCAAGCCAACTTGCTGGTGCGATAGGTGGGGAATGACCTTCTTCCGGGTTTTGGGGATGATCCGGAAGGGGATTCCCTAGGAAGCCATAGGAGATGATTTATAGGGGTCATTCCAGTTCTCCTTCCCTGCTGAGAACCAGCAAGTCAAACTTCCAGCTGATGAAATAGACACGGGGATGGCCCGCGATAGTATCACAGAGTGATTTGCCAACAGTGAGCCTTTCTTTTTCTTGGTTCCCTAGAAAAGTTGGACCATTGCAAGGTTCGGTATGGGAACCACAGCTCTTGCAATTTGCTGGTAGCTTGGCCCTAGAGCCACAATCAAAACCTGGGTAACTGAAGGTTAGCAGGGGGACAGTCCGCTTGCCACAAATGCCTTTACACATGCTTGGGTAGACTCATCCACCGCGTTTTGACTGGGACCCCCCCCCCCTTCCAATAACTGGGGGATACCGTTGTCGATCGTTGGGCAGAGCCAAGGTCAAATCAAGGTCCATGAAGGTAAGCGGGTACAGGCTTCTGCTTTGTGGGGGTCAACATCTAGCCTTTGTTTTTGGCTGTCAAGTAAGAGAGCCCTGAAAAAGCCTGGGCGTGTTCAAAAAGGAAGCCGCCTTACCCTGTGATGCCCCTTTGGAAAGGGCAAAGAGCCCTTTGGACCCAACCCGCATAGGCTGCATGGCTCTGTTTGCGTGGCACTGCTTGAAGCTTCGGCCATTCTCCGATTTGGATTTCCATTGATGCCGCAAAATCCGGGACTCCGATCCCAAGCCGTGTTGCCCTCGGCGTTCTTTGCTCAAGTTCCGCCCCCATGGGTGGATTTGGAGCCCGGAAATCCGCCCGGGGCTCATTATTTCCGGGCGTACCCCGCCCGCGGGCACGAGGAGCCCGTCCTCTGGAGCGGCACTGTGGCGGAGAATTTGGACCCCGCCCAACGCGCTTTGCCCAAAGACCTGGAGGATGCCCTGTGCAAGGCCCGGGTAGGGCCGCTGGGGCCGCTCAATTCAGTGGCCCAAGGGAGACACAAACATTCCGCTTGTGCTGCGAGCATTCATTCTTAGGTTGCGGAATATGGGGAATTGACTTGTTGGGTTGCGCCGCTTTGCGGAAGGAAACGGGCAAATTCAAAAATTCAGAGGTGCCTCACCAGAGGTTTGCCTGTTTCCAGATGCTTCTGATGCCATGGAATTCCCCTTGGAAAGTGTGAAAAGAGTGCCAGCAGTGTGCAAGAATGGTTGCTTCTTCTCTTTTTTTTTTTTTGTAAAGGACTTTGTGAGTTGCAATTTGCCTGGAATGATAGCTTGTCGCAGGGGTCAGCAAAACACAGAAGGACGAGGCCGGCTTCGGCGCTGTTTCAGGTTCACCTCGACAAGAAGTTGGACATGGGCTCCGATACCAGGGTCGAGATGCGGGGGAATAACTTCAGTCTCGGTGAGAGGCAGCTGTTCCTCAGCTGCTTTGGACGGGTAGGTGTGATTTGCCTGGGCCTGAAAAATGGATCGGATGGAAAAAGAGGAAACACACATCCACTTTGGGTTCCTTTTGGTAACACCAATTATGGGCTCTTTGTATGTGTGTGTGTGTGTTTGCTTGAGGGTACCCTTCTTGGGATTATTTGAGATTGGTTTAAAGGGAAAGAAAGGGAGACCGCTTTTCTTTCTTTTTTTTAGGGGGGGGGGCTGGGGTGGGGGCGGGGGTAGCACAAGTTTGACATACTCAAACATAGCCAATGATTGGTTATATTCCCACAGAGAACCAGCAGTGGATGTGTTTTTCCCGCAGACTTTCTTTCTATCAAATCAAAGCGCGGGATGAACTACCTTTGGGTACACTCCTCTACCAAGCTTTGCTCATGACTGGCTTAGCCGCTCAGCTAGTTGAGGCCAACCCAATGGGGCACAGAGGCCTTTGAATTTCGATACCCGGTCGCAGCTGAAAAACACCGGGTTTGCTGGTTGTAGAATGCAAATGGGAAACCGCCCCTAACCGCTAGACCACGGAAGCTGAAGCAAGCCTCATGATTCTTCCACTCTGCAAGCGGTATACGGCCGAGGGCGCGCTTGCGTGCAAAAAACATAAGCTGCTAGGGCCAGCAGCACTTGGGTGCAATCCAGTCGTTCGAGGTTATGTATTGCACGGTGCATCGCACGCCACAGTCGGATAGTACTGGTGGATGAAGCTACCAGCTGTGTGGATGGCGAGACGGATGCGCTGATTCAGGACTGAGATTGCAGGTACTTGCGTTTGCGTGACACGCTTTGCATGTATGCTGAGTGTGCCAGAAGCTTTTGCCAGCAAGCTGTGCTCCATTGCACGATCTAGTCCAAGTGCTTCTCTGAAGAGATCTTGGCATGTGCCGTCAGTACTGTAGGCAATCTTGAGCTGTGTTGTAATTGCCCGAGCACCCGTGCAAGTACGCATGTTGTCCCGCCCCAAACCTGCCTGGAGATGTGAGTACACTTCAATAGGGCGAGAGGTATGGTAGCCATGAGGCTTCGAGGAGTTCTTGCCAAAGAGAACCAAATCTCAAAATAGAAGGGAAAGCAAAGAGCCACCTGTTTTGCCTTTTCCGATTTCCATTTCGTTTTGGAACTAGTTGGGTTTCTTTTTAGCTGTGTGTTGCCGCACACTGTTCGCAGTTTACCTTTAACTTGGAGGACGCCCTGCATCGCCAATTCAAGGGCGTCACCATGCTGGTGGTGGCGCATCGCCTGCAGACGATCATGGATGCAGATCTGATCGCGGTCCTGGATGCGGGGAAAGTGGTGGAGACAGGCGCGGAGAGTCAGTCGGGATTTGTGCCGTTCGTCTTTGCAAAACGCGTCTAAATGATTGGAATGGGGTTGCGGCATGTTCAACCCCCCTTATTTTGGGCAGTATCACAACATAATGATGTGTGCGAAGCCCAATTGGACAGGGCGGAAATCGGACAATTTGAAAATAGGGGATTGGTTTTCCTCTTCCCCGCAAAGCATCAGAAAGGACTTTTTTCATTGGAGGCGTTTGGATCTTCGGCCTCAGAATGGCCCTTTTTGAGGTCTAAGATATTCTCAGGGCCGGCCACCTGGGTGAAAAAAACACGCGACAGGCGCTCCAGGACAGCTGCTTGCCGAGCAGACTCGTTTTGCGGCACTCTGTGAGAAGGCGGGTCCCGATCTTTCGCAGCGCAGACGGTGCTTCGCAAGGGAGGCGCTTTCTCCGTCAGCAGTCCTCCATCAGGGTTTTTTGCAAATTCAATCAGGATTTTTTGGATTATATTTCTGTTATCAGGGGAGGTACATGTGCATTTGTTTGAACCCCCCAAAGCCGCCCTGGCGATGTTGCAGCTGGTGCTTTGGGCTGTTCCAGTAGCTCCTCCCAGTGGTGTCCTGACGGTGTCCCGGTGATGTTTTGGCTGTCCGATGGGTATTCAATTTACGCACCCTTGGCTGCCCTGTCAACATTGCAGGTTACTCAGACTCATACCCTTGCAACAAGAATTCCCGGAAAGTTGCCGCAAAGTTGCCGTTGCCATTGTGGTCTTTTGGGGACTTTTCCTTTGGTTTCCCTATAAACCAATCAATAAGGGATACCAAGTCCAAACAAGACCGCCCCATCTCCCGGTTCCGCGATTTCTCCTTTGAGGCGCCGCTCTCGTCGCTTCTGAGCCTTTGAGCCCAGCGCTTCCTTGGAGGGTCGAGGGCCGCACAAAGATGTGGACGGTGTGTGGACGTTGGGAAGGGTACTGCGGATGGACGAAGGCCATTTCGCACCCAAGAAACCCTGAAATGATTCGGTTCCCCAACGTAGATACGGACGAAGAATGGTTTCAACCAGGGTTTCAAGGTGCAGGATTCCGTCCATCAGTAGGGATCCCTTTGGCGGTTTTAAATGCGGAAGGTCCAATGTGCCCTTCCAGACAAGAGGTGTCGATTTGCCTCTTTAAGCCGGACAGCTCGTCATCCAAGCGTGACATGAGAGGCATGGTCTTTCAGATTTGGGGTTCACAACTGTTCATATCTTTCAAGCATGTCAGACTCCGGGACCACACCAATGGGAAACACATTTTTGAAGCATTTCTCCATTGCCAGCTTGGATGGTCTGTTCAAGCATCTCTTGCCTGTAGCAGCCGTGCAACACGCGCAATCCGCGCATGCGTAAGTTTTCTGCAGGCTGACGGAAGAAACGTGTGTGCAGTGGAATTGACCATGTGACGCTCATCATACGCAGATCTAGGCTCTGGGGGGTAAATTTCACGAAAATCCCAGCACCTCCCTCCCCTCACACGGCTGTTTCCCATATCCAAAGAAATCCGTTGGCTGGCAAGAATGTTAGGGGTGATAGGTATGTCTTCACAAGCAACAGGTTCGGTCCTTGGGACGAGAAGAGAGCTGTAAATCTCGAAAACGCGAGGCCTGGCTCATTTTTGGTGGCTCGTCCTTTTGTGGCAACGTTGAAAACCACAAAACCGAAATCTTTTGCGTTTCTATTTTAGTTTTGTGGGGGGGTCCATTTCTAGAAACAAGACACACCCATGTCCTCTTGGAACATAAATTTTAATGGCTCACATGTTGGCCGTGGGGACAAGCCGAGAGGTGCCAGGTGTCCCTATGATCCATGTTCGGCCCGTTTAAATTTGTCAACCTTTTGGTTGACACTTTTAAATGAGTTCCTCTTGTGGTGATGTTTTTTGTGGGGGAAGTATAGGGAGCCTGAGTTTTGCCAGTTGCCCTGCCAATGCTTGGGCCTCCCAGGTGGTGTGAACCGTTAAGCGGCTACTCTCCTGCAACAAAACCGTGTAAAAAATCAGGGGAGCTAGCCCGCTGTCCTGGTATGTTTTGAATGTGCGTGAGACATATCTATCTGCTTGGTTTTCCTTGTCAACGTTGTGTTTTAGGCCAAGTTGAGAGGATGTTGATTCCGAGTACAACCCCTGAAAACAGGCATCCTACGGCCTGGCAAGAGTTGAGAAGTTGCGCTTTCGCAGCAGCGCAGCATGTTCACAAATGCGCAGGAACACGAAGACGTGTCAAACACAACAGGTGTGCTGCGTGCAAGTCGGAAAAGAAACACGTACTGGTTTAGACGGCGGGAGAGTTTGTTCAGTTGGACGATAAGTTTTAGTATACATTGAGAAGAGCAACGCAAGTCTTGCTTTCCGTTTTGAGACCTGAGGTTACCTTTGCCAGGTTTGGTGCTGCCATTGGCGTTAGCATTTCTCCATGCTGCTGGCTTCAGCTTCTTTGAGCAACAGCACAACAAGTGCCAGGACCATGAGTTTTATGACTGTGGGCCCATAGTTGCAGACAATAAATTTGCAGATCCGAGCCGCACATGCGGCGGGAAGTGAAGCAATATCTTGAACAACTCTGCCCCTTCAAGTTGAGGCAAAGCAACTACACATGGTGCTTTCGAAAGAGCCCAAGACGTGTCACTGCATGAGTGAAAATGGGATCTCAACTAGGGATGTCTCAATGGCGTTAACTTGAAGGGCCTCGGGTTGGGCCTCTCTCCGCGCCATGGATGACGAACTGCTGGCAGTTTGGGCGCGGCTCTTGCCCGAGGACACTTGGCTTAGCTCCAAAAGCCAGGAAGTCTTGCAGGAAAGGGGTCCCCTTATGGTGGCGGGGGGTGGGGGGGGCTGTCTTTTTTTGGCCCCCCAAAATAAGAAAAATATCAACAAGTGTTTAATCCCTGGTACCATAACAAAAAGGGACACCCAGCTTTTGGAGTGGTGATGTTTAGAGGGGGGAACAGATATATACATAATATATATATATATATGTAGAGAGAGAGAGAGAGAGAGAGAGCGGGTGAGTTGGCCGAGAATCCCACCGCAACCAAGCAACAATTCATATATCCTGTTGGTTTCGGAGGGGATTTGGCGAACTTCCAGGCGGATTTCCTCTAGGTTTAGATTTGGTGGCATGGTGGACGGACACTCATCCAGGTGGCTTCAGATCAGCCTTGTTTTTTTCTTCACATATATTTTCATATATATATATATGAATTAATATGTGATACATACATGTTTGGGGTCGGCATTGTCATTGCCATTTCTATGAGAAGGTAACTGCAAAGTGATCAAGTAGTCATGGGGCTGTTTGCCATGAATTGAGATAGCACCGACATTGGTCCCAGATGTTTCAGTGCGAGTGAGTTTGCGCTTTACGCGCATCGACTGAGCACCTAGCTTGATGAACAAGTCGAGCGAAGACAAAGCAACAGCAAAGCCCCAGTTTTGCAGATGATGCCTTGTAGAAGCAAGCCGCAACTTGACTTGTTTTCTTTTTTCTTTTTTTTTCTCTCCTTGGTTCTTGAATACCACTCCAAGGATTCTGCACTTGATTGGAGGGCTTCGGCCAAGTAACCTCTGTTTGCGCATTTGCAGTTTTGGTTTGTTTGCGTTCGCTGCATCCATAGAATTTGCCCAGTCAAGTGCGGGAAGGCAAACGCTCGCGACTATCTCAGTTGACAATGGCATCCAAACTCAGCAAGGAAGCAGGGCATGACTCTTCACCGCTAGGGATATTTCAGGCAAGATTAAGGGTCCACTGACAAGAGGCTATTTTAGCAGACACTTCAGGACCTGACTGCTGCTGGGACCTACCACAGCAGGTTTTTCATTTTCAGGTTTGCTCAATATGAATCAGGAAAACACACATGAGCGTACCCTCAACAATCTAGCACCCAATTGCATTTGAGCGACCAAAATCGATTCCTATTGGCCATTTTAGGCGGTTCTAGCCAGTTTCATAGGGCCCGGTTTCATAGGGTTTGTAGCAAACCATAATAAACCCATGTCAGTTTGAGTTGGGGCCAACATTTTGAGGCGGGTTTGGCCTTCCAATGGGCCCTCAGCTGAGGAGCGAGGACGATTGCTTTGCGTGCAAGAGCCCGCGGCTTCGCAGCAAGGGATAGGCGGTACAAATAGCCTTTTGGGCGTTGGTGGTTTTACCGGGAGACTAAAGGGACACCCACCAGTTTGGATCCCCTATTTCAAGACGACACACCCATTTGTTGTTCTTCGCATTTTTGCCTGTTCGGAACGGCTTCAACATGGTTGTGGTTGCATAATGTTCATGGTTGGAACTCTCAAACAACTACACACACACACACAAGACAAAAGATAAGGCAGCCAACATGTGGCCTGTTTTTCATAGTCCGAAACCAAAGCATCGCTTTGGAGATGGCTGCGCCAGTTCCCCTGGTTTTTCCCTGTCCACCAGTCAGGATCCCAAACTCAACTTCATGCCCAAATGCTGCACAACCAAGGAATGTGTTCGATTGATTGTCCTGAGCTCAGATGTCGCTGCGGGTTTGACATACTTTGTGTGAAGCAGTCGGTTCGGATTAAGCGAAGTGCGTATCTTCCCCGTTGGTTGTTTGTGGGTCCGGTTCTCGCAGCCCCTGGACTTTGGTACCTTTTAAAGACCAGTGTAGTGGGGAACGAGATGTGACTGGCCAACCCAGGCAAGCGAGTTGCATGGCTTGTACCATCGCCAATCCGAGGATTTGGGGATGCAAATGCTATGGGCTGCGGAGATCCAAGCGCGTCAGTTCGGGGTGCGCGGCTCTACGGATCCCTTCGACCATGCGCAGCTCCCCCTGCTGGCCACGATGCAGTTTGACGGTTTTATGCACAAAGGCAGGACCAAATAGCTTGTCTTGCAAGCCGAGGCATGGGTCATTGTTTGTTAGACCAACAAAGAGGTCTCTCAACTTGACTTGGGAATACTAAACCCGAGGCAAGTAAAAAGTCCTCAGACCCGGGGTTGTTGTTTAGGTAGGCGACCGTTGCAGCGCCAGCAGCCGCGTCATGTTCGACTCCACGCTCCTAGATCTGCGTGGCAATCCCCCATTGCCATGCTTTTGCAAAGACGCTGTTCCGGATTAGGGCAACAAATGTCTCAGAACGGATCAAATGTTAGCATGTTGCTAAGCACACCCGCCCACACGCAGCACGTTCGCGTGTAGCCACGCCTGCCAAATGCGAAGCACATCCGCCCGCGTGCGGCAAGAGCTGAGTCCGCCCGCGTGCGGCAAGAGCTGAGTCAGCTCAGCGCCACCTTGCACAGTCGTTTGCCTCCGTGTGAAGAAGCGTGTTCGAGCAACTTATGTTTTAGCCCCTTTCAAAATAGTAGTTTCGCTGTGTGTCCTCAACTTTGAATTGGCACCACAAAGAGTTTGAGGTCCTTGCATGGTCAAACTACAAATGCATGATTGCAACTGACAACCCTATTGGGGAGCCGCGAGCCAAATCAAGCTTTGCCAAACGTTTAAATAATGCTAAACTGGGCATGGAACAAGTTGAAGTGTTTTTTTCTAGGGGGTGTGGCTTAACCAGAGGTATTGATGAAATAGGATGTACCTTTTGTGGATCAAACAGTATTGTGACCTACGCTGTAGGCTAAGTCAGGGGAGGCTCATCTATTCATTTGTTTAAATGTTTATTTATTTATTTATTGATTTATTTATTTATTTATTTTGAGACATTTTTGTACGGTTTGATTGCGATTGGCATTTATGGTTTAGTTTCGTTAAAATTGCACCTTTTTGCTTCTCGTGCACCAATGTTAGGGGTTCTCGGACGATAAATTTTGGGAGTCTCGGGAAGTCGAACATCAAGCGTACAAAATGTAAGTTTCGCCGAACTTGTAAATAACGGGTAACACACATCGTATTTTTACGCAACAAATACGAATATTTCGTCTGTCTGTGTCTGTGTCTGTGTCTGTGTCTGTGTCTGTGTGTCTGTGTGTCTGTGTGTCTGTGTGTCTGTGTGTCTGTGTGTCTGTGTGTCTGCGTGTCTGTGTGTCTGTGTGTCTGTGTGTCTGTGTGTCTGTGTGTCTGTGTGTCTGTGTGTCTGTGTCTGTGTGTCTGTGTGTCTGTGTGTCTGTGGCTCTGTGTCTCTGTGTCTCTGTGTCTGTGTGTCTGTGTGTCTGTGTGTCTGTGTCTGTGTGTCTGTGTCTGTGTCTGTGTCTGTGTGTGGGTGTGTGTGCGTGTGGGTGTGCGTGTGCGTGTGCATGTGTGTGTGTGTGTGGGTGCGTGCGTGCGTGCGTGCGTGCGTGCGTGCGTGCGTGCGTGCGTGCGTGCGTGCGTGCGTGCGTGCGTGTGGTGTGTGTGTGTGTGTGTGCGCGTGCGCGTGCGCGTGTGGTGGGTGGGTGGGTGGGTGGGTGGGTGTGGGTGGGTGGGTGGGTGGGTGGGTGGGTGGGTGTGTGTGGGTGGGTGGGGGTGGGTGGGTGGGTGGGGGTGGGTGGGGGTGGGTGGGTGGGTGGGTGGGTGGGTGGGTGGGTGGGTGGGTGTGTGTGTGTGTGTGTGTCTGTATATGTGTTTAGGTGTGTGCGTGTGTGTGTGTGTGTGTGTGCGCGCGTGCGTGTGTGCGCGCGTGCGTGCGTGCGTGCGCGCGCGCGCGCGTGCGTGCGTGCGTGCGTGCGTGCGTGCGATGGTGACATGTGAGCGTGCGCAACTGTCATCTTTGGTCTTGCACCCTGGTGTTATGATCACGTGGTCTTCTCCTGGCCGAGTGTTCTTGCTTAGTTGGTGCTTGCACGCGCAGTTCGGTCACGGTTCTTGCGATATGGCTGTGTGTGTGTGTGTGTGTGTGTCTGTGGTTTGTCGACACACAGCAGTACAACATTGCCAGGTGCTGTTTTGACATTTCTACCTTAGGCCACCAGTTTTTCCTGCGGTGAGGTGAGAAGGTGTTCAAGTCCGTGAAGTGGCCGAAGGATTTTCATGAAGATCCCATGATCCTCGCCAACGCTTTGAGATTTTCGCTGCAGGCGCATGGGGCGCCTGCGAGATGTGGGTCGCTGTCTTTCTTGAGGGTACGCCTTTTTGGTTGGCTTTAAAGGTAAACTAGAGGAACACCACAATTTTTGGGGGTCCCCTAAGAACAGACACGCCCATCTTGAGATCTGTAGGAAGACCACACAGGAAGACGACTTTGAAAGTAGATCACTCTGAGCACGTTCGCTGCTTTCGAGCAAGCTGCCTGAAGTTGAGAATTCTGAATCATATCTTCGGAGAAACAGGCAACAACACGCTTGCGCGCTCTTTTTCGCGCCGGTTTCCCGCAAGTAGATGCTGCCAGCTCACGCCCGCATCACGGCTGCCAGGAGTGAACAGCCTTTAAAGCAACACCGACAGGACATACCATTTAGAGTTGTCCATGATTTTGAGAAATCAAATTAAGTGTATTGGCCTGCGGGCTTCCTGAAACATCAAAGAGCGGGATGCTTGTTTTTTTTGCTTCTCTTCAATCCCTCAAGTTGTTAATGAATACCTGGCCAGCCCAATCGGAAGCTCCGTCGTGTTCTAACGCCCCAAGGAATGATTCCAGTTTTGGGGGGTGGGTACTATCGCAAATGAGCGAAGGTCAATCATTTCATCCATTTTTTTTGGGGTGGGTACTGTTTTTTCATTCAATCTACGGGCCCCGAAGATCCCTTCTTGCATTGTTCAGCATGGAAGTGGACGATGGGTGAGGGGACGGTCACCGTCGCGTCAGGCCTCTATGGGCTCCAAGCGGCGACAGGTTGCGCCGATCAAGGCCAACCGCCCCTCGGACGGAAGCGGCGAGTTTTTTTTGTTCTTCTGGGTTTCTTTGTGTCCAGTCGATGGGGCATCAAAAGATGCGAACAGATGGTGATTCGTTATTCGATTTGTTTGAGAGTGTTCCCTTGGACGAAACTGCCTGCGGTGTTGCGTCCGGGCCTACAATGTGAATGTTTAAGTCGAAGGTCCGGAGCCTTCTCCTCACAGGGCCAGCATGGGCCAAGCTCTGTATAGATTGTGTGAAAGGGTCCAGGGCCCTTTGTCGGGACTTTCCCTTTGTAAAGGGAGTGGTCATAAAAGAAAGCCTGATGCAAATGATCAGCCAGTACTCTCCGCTCAAATGACTTGTGCGGTTTGAGAAGCCAGAGATTTTGCCTGAGGCGACTTTAAAATCTCATAGGTCATTGGGACTTTTTGCCTAGGCTCAGAGGGGGATTCATGATGTCTCCGATCAATTTGTTAATGTTGAAACGCATGTGGAAACATGAACTGTGTCTGAAATGCTTGACCATAATGGCCCCGGCCATTTTGGCTCAAGCTTTGCCCTTGGGTTCTCTGAACCCAACTTGTGTGAAAAATTTGAGGTGAAACACTTCCGAACTAACCCCGAACCAGCAATGGCCTCCTCGGCAACTTCGGCAACTTCCTTCGAGTTGATTGAGGACCAGACGCTCACCGCGGAGGAGGTGGAAATGGCCAGCCAGGAGGCCCAGGAAATCCGCACACGCGAGGCGGCAGTGGCGGCCGGCCTGGTATTGGATGAGCCCGAGGCCCCCCCGTCGGCATCGGCCACCGACGTGATGAACGACCTCTCCAGTGCACTGGAGCGGCTCCGTGTGGCCTTCTCCACACCGACTTCCGGTCTGGGTGCCCCTGGCCCCGCCGAGGAAGAGCAGAAGGAGATGGGCGATGCGGACGCCACGGAGCGGGCTACTCCACCAACGAAGAGGCTGAAGGGTTTCGTGGCGGCTTCCCAGAAGACCACGGCCCCGGTGAACAAACCGGTCTCCCTGGTGCCGGTGGAGGGCCGTCCTGGCTACTTCAAGTTAGTGGACCTCCCAGACCTCTTCCCGGTCCTTCCGGCATCGGCGGCCACGTTGCTGAGGGACGTCACGGTGGAGGAGGCTGTCTCCTTGTTCCACAAGTTTGTCGGGAAGAATCTCACGGAGGACTTGGTGATTCGCATCCTGGAGGCCTATGTTCCGATGAAGATCCAGATCCGGCAGGAGGAGGTCTGGGCCTCACAGTTCCAGAGGAATAAGGCGTGCATTGGCACCCAGCGGATGCACAGACTCGATGCCGGCCACTCAGACTACAAATTCACCCAGAGGGTCCGGGATCAACTTTTTCTGATCTTAAGCGTACAAAAAAGATCAGATTTTGACAAGATTGATCTTGGCCGTTTGGCATGGTTTCCAAGGGAAGAAACATGAAACCTAGTATCAATCTTCAGCTTGGAGAACAGGCGCATGAAGATCGATCTTTCAACACAGAAATATTGATATTTGTGTGTGAAGACATGCTTTGCTTTTCAGCCATTTAAGCTGCAAAACAAATCACACCCCAAGCAAATTATGCCCCAAAACAAGCCAGCCCTTCTGCAGGGCTGAGAACTGATGCTGTTGACTGCAAAAATATTAAACTTTGTTGGAATGATTGCATTTGAATTGGGCTTTGGGTTTCTATCCATAAATATCATATATATTATCACTGCAGAAGTGACTAGTTAGGATCTTGTTACTATTGCTTTCCCACCTTGGGCCCTTAGCTGCCTTTACCACTAGTCGAGCGCACAGCACTTTTTGCTTGCTAGCTCTCTACTCCAAGCCATGGTGCTTCCAGAACCTGATGTGCATCAGCAGCTGGTATTTTTCAGTAATCTTCTTGGCAAGTTGCAAAGCCTGAGTGCCAAAGCTGCAGCTCCAAGCCACCTTTGCAATTCTTCCAACATAATCTTCAGATCTGAAACACCAAGTGTATTTTGGGTTGCCCCATGTGATGGAAGCAGCCATGTGCTTGGCATTGTGGAATTTGCCAACTGTGTGCCACATATGGTCATTGCACCTGTTCCTTTGAAGCTCTTGGTAACAGCAAAGGAGAGTGTTCATTTTGAGAACAGCTTCCTCACACTTCTGTTGTGAAGGAAACCTCTGCTCAGAATCCAGGAGTTGGCAAAATTCATCCATGTTGGAGAAGAGGCCCACAAGCAGGTCTGAGGTGGAGTTGCCCTGGTGCAAGTCAATGGCCAGCTGGGCAAAAATTGGGACTAAGGATTTGCACTCGCCAGCTTTGGTCTTCAAAAAAGGCTTCTCTTGGTGGGGTCTGTCAGTTGAAGTAAACATAGATGTCTTCAGTGTGGGCATCCTGTTTTCTGTTCCATATAGGCTGTACAAGGATCTGATTTTGCCCCAAACCATGTTTGTTCTGTCCTTCACAGACTTGCAGCCAGGAAATTTGCAGTGGTACACCCAATGCTTCAAAGCATTGCCCATTGCATGGGAAAATACACCCTTGCAAAAAAGAATGTGCATAGCATCTTGGCAAATATTGAAATGGGAGACGCCAGGTATTGTGAATATTGCATGGCTGGAAAGTCTGCAGTTGATCTCGTCCTTGATTGTTTTCATTTTGTGCTGTGGGATGTCCTCAGCTAGGGATGCCATCTGCTCTGGCCCAGTCATATTGCACTCCCAGCAGCTGTGCAGCTTTGACCAATGAGGAAGCTTCAGGTAGTTGCAAAAGTGCTCCTGGTCCCCCAAAATGTTCCAAATGATGAACTTGAACCCCCCAGCAATTGGGGATCCATCAGCAAAGGTGCCATTCTGCAAATTGAGAAAACAAGGGATAATGTGTGCCCACAGCTGTTCATTTGACTCTGGGAGCAGGCAATCTTTGGGGACTGCAAACAGCATCATTGAGGATTGGAGTGCAGGTTCCACATTGAGCACAGAGCCAAATGACCAGACTGTCAGAGACCTCCCATCTACATACTCGACACCATCCCCATGAACCCATAGAGGCAGTGTGTTGGGCAAGTCCTGCTCTGTGATCGAGGATTCCCTCAGAAGAACCTGCAGCTTGGGGTCATCTCTTTTGATATTTGACCAGTATTCTGCAGCAAGCTCAGGCTTCATCATTGCTGTGAAACGGGCTTGGCTTTTGTGCAAGGAGGATACCACCGCTGCTGCATTGAAAAAATATATGTCAGCCTCCTCACCCTTGCCAGTGCTGGGGTTTCTGCATAGAATAGATCTGGCCACCACTGGGGCAGCATAGGCTTCACCACTCTCTTTGCAAACAAAGGCTTTCAGGTCTCTACTGATGTTGCTGGTTTGCTGCCCCCAGGCGCCCAGGGATGCAAGTTTGCTAATTGAAGGATGCCTCAACCCATCCAGGTAAGCCGATCCGGCTATTTCCTGGCAGGCTGTTGCAGAAAGTTCCCCAACTGACCACAAATGAAGCAAATGGTCAAAAAGGCATGAGCTTCCATCACTGCTGGCAGGCCTTGAGTGGTCCCTGTGGTTGCCCAAGTCTTGTTTGTAGCCAGGCATTGCAGCATGCAGGTGGTAAACTAGGGTTCTATGGCCTCAATGATTGCAGCACAAGCTCCCTTTGTAAAATTGCCATTGCACCATTTGTTTTTTGCTGTTTGAACTGCACGCCCCAAACATCTCTTGAGCACTTGGCAGGCAGGCAAGCTAAACAAATACAAGTTAATTGGTGGCCCTGAGTTAGAGGAGTCTATATGAAGGCCCCCTTCTGCAGGAGGCAAAGGCCCCCTTCTGCAGGAGGCAACATAATGAATACATGCAAAGATCTATGGCACCTAGCATGCAAGTGAGCCATAGGCTTAAGCTTCAGCGCTGCAGAAGGCTTAGCTGGTGCCCTGCAGAAGGGTGCCCAACTAATGTAGCAAACACACAAAAGCTTCAAGCATTAACCCTACAACAATACCAGTGGTAGAACATGCACCCCTCACACCTATGGGGAAACAATAATGCTTTGACAAGGGCTTGCTGGTTGTTGAAAAACACATTTCCATCAAGCAACACACACATTTTCTTCTCACACCAAAACTGCCCCTAGATGTTTGTTGGAAGGGCCCAAGCTGGTGTTGGGCTCCCCCTCCATGACCCCTCAGAAGCCAAACTTTTTCTTGTTGAATTCCACCTGTGTGGCCACTTGCTTCATAATCTCCTGGTGCTTCTTGTTGGTCCACCCTTCAGCTTCTGGGAGCATGTCCATAAACTGGCTCATGTTTTTCTTGGCATTCTGAACATCATCCTTGACCTTGTCATCAGTGGCCTCGAAGCCCTTGTTCCCCAGCATTAGGATCTGCTTGTGGATCATAGACTTCAGAGCAGTCACCTTCTTCTTGTCAACTTTGTCATCCATGTTGAGCTCGTCTTTGCTGCCCTTTCCTTTCCCTTTCCCTTTGCGGTTGTCAGGCAGGCTGGTTTTGCCATCTCCTTTGCAAAAGCCCTTGCTGATGTTGGAGGAAAAGAGGTGCACATCATTGAAGGAGCTGGCTGACCCATAGGCTGCCCATGCAGAGGCCCAATCCTCTTCATCAGTTTCCTTCTGTTCAGGCTTGAGCTGTTGCTTTGAGGACCTTTGCACCTCCTTGGACCTGTCAAGTGATTTCACACTCTTCATTTTCTTGTTGTCCTTGTATTCCCACACATTGGCTGTATCCACGCACTCCCGTTGAGAGAACCTCCCAGAGGCAAGGTGGGCCATGATCTCTTCCTCAGTCCAATCTCTTTCCAGCTTCTTCCAGGATACCCACTCATCAGTCTTTTGGAGTGACTGGGTTCCCTTCACTGTGTGCACTAGCTGTTGCCAGGCATCAGACATAGAAGGGTCCAAAGACAAAGCCGCCACAAAGTTCCTGTGGTTCTTGTTGCCTGGGTTCTGCAAAGCCAGGGCCTGAAGGTCACTTGACTTGTTCCTGGCAGTGGCAAACCTTCCATTCAGCACATTCCATTCCTTTGTTGTCAAG